TTTGTAACTATGAGCATTCTTTCATTCATTTCATTTCATTTCACTTCATTTTATTATTTCCACTTTCCTTTTTTTACAGAGTGCCTGAGGCTTGTGTTTCATTGGCTTGGGTTCAAAGTACATACATATGATGATGTGACTAAAGTACGCATGGAAGAGGTTCTGCAGGAGCAAAAGGGTCACCCCGGCCATGCTGATGGGGACTGCTTTGTGTTCTGCGTTCTGTCCCATGGGAAACCTGGAGCTGTCTATTCCTCAGATGGGGCCCTCATTCCCATTCGGGAGATCATGTCTCACTTCACAGCCCAGCAGTGCCCTGGACTGGCTCACAAACCTAAACTCTTTTTCATCCAGGCCTGTCAAGGTATAAAGGAGCAACCTTTCATGTCCATTGAAACAGATGCTGTGAATCCTGAGCACACGTCCCTTCTCCCCAAGGATAGTATTCCTGTTGAGGCAGATTTCCTGCTCGGTCTGGCCACTGTCCCTGGTTATGTATCCTTTCGGCACCAGAAAGAAGGCAGCTGGTATATTCAGTCTCTGTGTAATCATCTGAAAAACTTGGTCCCAAGGTGAGAGTTCTGAGTTGTTCCATCCACCTACCTGTTTATCTGTACATGCATCCACCCACCCACCCGTCCACCCATCCATCCATCATCCGCCCGTCCACCTGTCCACCCATCTGTTCCACCCATATGTCCACCCTTCCATTCACCCATCTGTCTGTCCACCTACCTACCCATCCATCCACTCACTCATCCATCCATTCATCCATCCAACAGCCTTGTATTGAGCACCATCATGGACCTGGAAAGGAAGATACAGAATAAAAAAAGACAGTCCCTTCCCTAAGTTGCTCACAAGCTAGAGGGATAGACAAACAAATACATGGGAAACAGCATCTCCAGGTGGAAAATACACATTGTACTTTTCAAGCTGATGTCAGATTCAGCGTTGGTCAGAACCTTTCAGGTGCTGGTGACAGAACACTCAACTCAAAATGACTAAAGCAAAGAAAGGAATTGAGTGCCTCTTTTGCCTGGAAATGCACATGGAGCTTAGGGGTTGTGGAAACACCCAGGACAAGCACCTCTTCCAGATTTGGAGGATCAAAGACTTCTAGAGATGACAGATAGATATTAGGCAAAGAATCCAGGTGAAAGACATTCTGGGCAGAAGGAACATTATGGACAAAGGCATGGAAGGCTTTTGTTTCTTCATTTATTAACTTATCATTCACTCATATTTACTGAGCACCTGTGTGCTGTCCTTGGCTTTCTATTTGCCTCTGCTCTGACAACTTCCCTTCCGTCTCCGCCATATTGTCCTTATCTGTAGTCTGGAGATGGGCCTTCATCAGCACTTTGTCCTGGACGCCCTTCTCTATTCTCTCTTTCGCTATCTGCCCCTCGCCCCCACGGTGCCTGATATCTGGCTTCTGAGACCTGGTGTGTGGTTTCTGCCCGCAGACATGAAGACATCTTATCCATCCTCACCGCTGTCAACGATGATGTGAGTCGACGAACGAGCCCAAGTGGAACAAAGAAACAGATGCCCCAGCCTGCTTTCACACTAAGGAAAAAACTAATATTCCCTGTGCCACAGGGAGCTCTTGTAATAGAGTAAGGAGTTTTCACTGACTCTTAGACTTGAAATGAACCTTTGGTTACACCTCCAGCCTCCCACCCAGTGCAGGAATCAGTGACCGAGGGTGAGCTAGCTAGTCTCCACCTGTCATTCCTAGTAATAGGAAATGCCTTGTTTTCTGACACAGTTAATTCTGTTCTTTTGTCTTTTTTTTTTTTTTTTTTTTTTTAAAA